GGCCCTAATCCTCTTCCGTATTCTGCCTTTCTGATGATTTAACAAAAGTTTTTCTGCAGAGGCAATGTATGTTCTTCTCAGCTCAGTTGCTTTAAAGTTGTTTCATTAAGTTTTTTTTTTTCAAACCCAATTTCATCTTACAGAAATATTTTGCTATGAATATAATTAGATAAAATATTCTTTCTAATTTTATTCTGAAAGATTTTGCAGTTCTAAACAAACTACTGCAACAAATAAGCAACAACAAATATTGTATTTTATTTGAAAGATATAAATGTAAAAGTTAAAATGAAAAATTATTTGATTACGTTTGTAATCATATGTTTATTAGGCAATAAAAAAAATGCATTCCGCTATTTCTTGCTTAGATAACACCATCTATGTTAGATACGGGAGTAGTTTAGGTATCTGACTAAGCTTTGAAAAATGTGTTGGTAACTTTTCTTATGTATCACACTAGTTCTTCCAATTGAAAATGAGTCAATTTAGTTTTTTTTGTATGTTGTTAAAGAATGTGTACAATAAGGATGATAATTAATGACCATTTCAAATCCTTTTGGAGATACGCCTGTCATTGCTGTTTATAAAAGGCCCAGAGTTGTAACTACCGTCCACCATTACTGTCAAGGTTCACAAGAATAATATTTATGTCAACCTAATTCAGTAAATATAGTGATTTTTTATTTAGAAGCAGTTAAGAGGAGAGTAGTTCTGTGTTTATTAAACAGATGAATAAAATATTGCAATGAAACTCAAATAATTTATAGTTTAATTAATCCAACCAAGAAAGGACAATGCAAAAAGAGATTTAGACCTCCATCATTTTACAATATGATTTCAAAAACTATTCCATATATTGTTACAAATCCTTTACTCAAATCAATTTTTAAACATTCTTCACCTTATGAATTTGAGAGAACAGATTTTATTTCATATGGTTTCTTTTGCCAAAGAAACTTCCAGTGTTGTCCAGATCAGAGCATAGCGCTTTGCTGCCCTCTAGTGTCGAAGAAACATATAATCCCTTCCTTCTAAACATTCTTTTCACTTTAAAACTCTTGCTCTTTACTAAAAAATTTTACCAACATCCAGTGGACCAATAGAAATACTTTACTTCTACCTACTATGTAACTGTGGCTGCTTTGTTTGTTTACATTTTGACATGCTGCTATATCTGTTTTAATTGTGCTTTGCTGCTCGCTGCGTCCATAAAATTATCTTGGTGGTTGAATTGTGGAAAATCTGAGCTTTCCAATGGTGTCTAACATTTCTATATCGGTAAAAATTTAGCGGTGGAATTGTATGCATTCTGAGTTATTACCCAAGTTAACATCCACCGGGTTGCCGGCAGCCCGGTGGGTTTAATTACGTTAAACAAGGATTAATTACATTGAAGAATGAATTCGGATGAAATGTGATTCCTTAGTTTTGTATTTGTAGTAAATTTGGAAGGATTTCAAACTTTTCACATTATGAACCAGCAGCTGGATTTATGGTAATAAAACATAAAATGGACTGAAATGGTAGCTAATCCAGATGAGTGGCTGGTTGGATTATTGGCTGACAGCTGTACGGATGGAGGAGTGGAAAATAGAATAGATAATAGCTAAAAAGGTCCATTTATACAAAAAAAATTTTTTTTTTTTTTAAATATTCATTTCCAAATCGCTTTATTTACTTTCCTAATCTTGGAAAAAGCTCAGGAAAACTGTGAAAAACAACCAGAGGCAGAGATTTCACACCGGTCTTTATGAACTTATTGTCTTTCCATCAATTTTATATAAACTAAAATCTATTCTTGTAATCTAGCTCTTAAAGCCTCTGCTGAGATAAACTGATTTCCTCACTGATAACTTTCAATCAAACAGGCAGCTCAGAGAAACCAGTGATGTGAATCTTTTGTAATTAAAGAGAAATGTTAAATAAACAAATGAGGCACACATTTGACTCTTAAAACTTTATTTGTCCCCAGGTTATAAAAGCACAAAACAAATCAAAGAAACTCAAACATTTTGAGGAAAGTGTTGGAAACTATAAACATGAAAATTTTGAACGTTCTCGCTCCGAAGTGTTGCTGAATCGGCGTTTTCCTGCGGAGTTCCTTCTCTCCAGAACGGTTTCTGTGTTTAATGTTACAGTTGTGGATCAAACCACTTTACACCAAAACTAACAGGATACTTTTTTTGTTTGGTTTTTTAAGAAACTAATAAAAAAGAAAAACATCAAAATGTTGGGATGAGCAGCGTTTCCTCTCAGCGCCGTCTGCGGTCTGGACTTCTGCTGCGTCTCCGTCCGCCTCCCCTGTAAAAAACAAACGTCCCATTATGATAGATTCCTATTTACAGCAGACATGGGGGCCACCAAACCGATCTCTAGTTATTCACTGGATGCTGATTGCCTGGAAAAAAATGAAGCCACCATCCGCCATGCTGGTATTCCCCACTAACACAAAGACCGTAACATGTAGCATTTAGCTGCAAAAACAAGCAGTTTGCCGGCTGTAGGAAGATGTTCCACAGCTAATTTCAGTCAGCGGATGAACTAACCAAGAAATTCCCCTAATACGCGATGTATCCTGCAGTATAGCATGTAGCGTAACATTAGTCTGGCTATGTAAGAGCGAATTAAAGACATTGGCCTTAAAGGATGCTGCAATATTGGGCATAAATCAAATAACTGCGACACACAGCTGCGGGACGATAACCAGCCCACCACACACATTTTACTGTGAATGATTTGAATGATATGTTATATTACATGATTTAGCGACTTCATTGTCTTCATAATGACTATGCAATGTGATATGCCCATTTTTGTTAAGTTTGTGCCCATTTTATGGTATTTTTGTTATAAGTTAAAGTAATCTACTGATCCTATGAAACAGCAAATGTGTGTCAAAGTGATGAGTTTATATTTTAAAAGTCTTAAGTCCCCCTCAAAATGAGAACGTCATTGTTGTTCGATCCTACAGCATACGGCAAGTTAAATTCAAGACTTTATAAGACTTTTTAATGCCACTTGAAAT